ATGAAACACCCTTATCTGATTTTATCTGTGATGATGGATTCGAGTAGGAATCCGAATCGTTAGGCTAATAAAGCTCTTGTCCCGGCGATCGTGTCTTCTTCTTCACTTTGTTGTGGGTGCATATTCCGGATAACGCAGTGTGTTCAGTATATGCTACGGAAAACCACTATCATTATGAACTAATTCGTGCGCAAGTCACAGTCCCTGCGCCCAACGGCAGCCATCGTCGAAAACCATGATGGAACTGTCAGTTAGTTATAACTGCGAAACCATTTCAGAATTATCAGTCCACTTAAAGCATTTATCTTCGTGAACGTCAAAGCATTCTCGCACCAGAGTCTCCTCCTCATTCTCAAATTTCTACGTGACGAACTCATTGAATGTTTGTTCACCTTGAAACATCGCTGGGAGTAGTACCGAGCAACTCTTCTATTCGAACATGTCACGATCTAGTTGGGAATCGTTGATCAATAATGCACGATGCTGAGCAACTGGTTTCAACATCCTCTTCTACTTTCCCGTCTAGTTCCCCCTGGTAAGGGCATCTTTTTCAAGTTTGTTCTCTGCAGCGGGTATCAAATAGGGATCCTTTACTGTATAAGATACCCAGATCCGATATTAAGAGAATTCCCGAAAAAGTTAAGTTCTAGTTCCTATTTTCATCCAGCTTCCCACATGAGTGGCTAGCCATTCCAGTCAACTATGAATGGTTTGCCGGTTAGATGATACTTGGTAGCCCTCCTGACACCGCAAACTCAAAGCTGCCTGTCAATCGGGACCGGTGTTAATAGGGGCTATACGGGTGGGACAATTGAGTGGACGGGTAATTGGCGATTGTAGTACATGCTAGGAATTGGCGCTCCTGGTAAAGTGGAAGCCTGATTTAGATTAGGTGAAAAATACAAGGAAGGTATGGAAATGAGCAAGGAGACTTTGAACGGTGTGTGGAATAAATGCATCCTACCCTCAGACTGGAAAGAAAAGCAAGTGAAGTCGAACAACCAATGGGAGGAAGGCAACTGGTCCGAAGGTCATTCCGCAGTGTAAGCGATAGAACTCCATCCAATATAATGGACAGAAGGACACGAGAGTCAAGCAGCGGCACGCAGAACGCCACAACGCAAGCCGGATAAGATTTTCATTTGAAAAATTGGTTTGGGCGGACGAGAAAATCCGCAAATAATGAGGCAATCAAAAGCTACCTCTGCTAATGAAAGTTGATAAGGGGTAAGCCTCATTGGCATCGTTACCGGTGCCAATTCGCCGAAGATAGTACCTCTACAATGAATGAGGCAGTCAAGAGCTACCTCTTCTTATGAAAGTTGATGTAGGGAAAGCCTAATTGTCATCCTTACCGGTGCCCAGGATAGTACCTCCAAAATGAATCTGGTACAGGTAATACAGCACGCATGTAAATTTAGAAGCATAATGCGAACGTAATCATAGCTACTGAAATCAAGCCAGTAGGTGCAATTGTAGATTATGTAGGCACGGTTGCCAACTACCTTTTCTAATGAAATTTGACATAGGGTAAGCCTCATTGTCATCGGTACCGGTGCAAATTTGTCCAGGATAGTACCTCTAAAATGAATCTGATACAGGTAATACAGCGTGCGCGTGAGTTTAGAATCATAATGAGAACGCAATCACACCTACTGAAATCGATCCAGTAGGTACCATGGTGGAGTCTGTGGGCACGGCTACCAACTATCATCTTACCGGTTTGCCTTTGCATATGGAGCCACTTCATGCCCCATGTTAACTTACCTGTCCACGTTAAGCTTTATTTTCGCGGGCCTCGTCCAAGACCGCCACTTAAGCCTTACCTTTATTTTCAGGTTCCTACCCGAGAGAACACGCTGACTGTTTGCCTAGTCAGTCCTGAGAAACGAGGTGTTAACCGGACACAGAGATGGATAGTCTGAAGGCATTATTATTCAGATGCCTTTAAAAATGCATTGGGTTTGTCCAACGGCAGGATCCAGACAAACGGAATGATCATTACCACATCAACCTTGGCACCCGTTCTTGCAGCCAGCTCTGAGGGGAGAATTGAAAATGTGCGACCTGTAAAGTGGTCGGCAACATTTTAAAAAAAACACCGACCACTGCCGTGTAGTTAGGCGGCCGTCCATTTGTAGTTTTGTAAAAAGCATGCGCCACTGGATGGCGGCAGTACATTCTGTCGCTTTAAATTGCGTGTAGGTGCATAGATCACAGGACAACGCTGCATTACGACATGTCCAATGCTACTCGCCGTCTAGGTAGGTCTCCCGCCGCCCTCGAACAGAAGCGTTAACACGAAGAAGAAGAAGAAGAAGAAGAAGATGATGCTGATGCTGATTATGATGATGATGATGATGATGATGATGATGATGATGATGATGATGATGATGATGATGATGAAGCGATCACTGGAACAAGGACTTTATTCGTCTGACGTTTCGGATTCTCACTTGAACCCATCAACCGTTAACTTTGAAGTGGTGTGCTGGAGGGATGTATCGGACGTTCAACTTCCGGTTTCGGGCGTGAAGTCGTCACTCCAATAAATCCTCCCTCACACTCGCTGTTTACATGTACTCCTATCGAACTTGCTGCAGGTCACTGGCACTTTCCTACCCAACAGCATCAACTGCTCCCACAGCGATCAAACTTCTGTCAATAGGGCACTGATTTGACACAAAGAGGATAGTTCGGCGGCCCTTGTTGATCAACTCGTTTGTTTCGCTCTTAAGGTCTAATCTGTCTTATAAAACACTGCACGCATCGGTCCATCAGAAGCTAGTTTATGCTGTGAGAAACTGGATTGCGCAACATAAGCGACTACACTGAGCATGCATACTATTTCAGTAGCTGCTACACGGCAGAGGACGCAAAGTTGGTTTCCAGTGACTTAAATCAGCAGTTTGGCATCGTATGGAGGAATTCCAGATGGACGCGATGGAACTTCTGTGAGTGAAGAACTAAGGTAAACTGGGAAGGTGTAACCAAGCTAAAGCTCCTATCGCGGAATGGACGATCATCGATCGGACAACAGGTTGTGTCACTCCCGTTGAGCGTTAGAGCTCAATCTAAAACATTCGCACCAAGATATGCAGAGAAAGGAATGCCGAAGATGAGGGTAGTTAGGATGTCTATTTCTGGTTCGCGATCTCTCACCAGACCATCGTGTCCAACCCTAGGTTTGACTAACTTCAGTTTTGATCCCGGAATCTTTGGCCAGTAGATGCTCCTCAATTTACTATTCTATCATTGATCCACGGTTCCTCTGCCCTATTGATTGTGATAGGGAACACTAAATGCCGTTGGAATGATGTTCATCAACCAAGTATCAACACATGCCCTCTGTTTAAGAAGTTACATTTCAGAGCGTGAAGTCCCCTGCTGTTTAACCTAATTAGGACGTCTCACACCGTGGAGAGTATAACCCTCGAACAGGCAGTTCGATTCTTTCCGACTGCGGCGATTGCCGTTTGTGTGAGGTAGTTTTTATTCCTCCGCCACGTGAATTCCGTTGTTAACTAAATTAGTTGGGAAGCCGCAGACACTCGAGCAAGCAGTGCGATTCTGTCCGATCACGGTGTCTGCAGGTCAGACGTTATTCCTTTCCCTTCACCTGTCCGAAGAAAGAACAACACATAGCCTGAAGGCATTCGTTTTCCGGGTCAAGCATCCAACAAGGGAGACTGGAAATCCGTCGTAGTGATCATCTCACGGAACCTAGACTTTTTAATTCTATTGACCGTTCCTAACAGACTTCCGCAGGAATCGCAGCTTCTGAGCCACCAAAAGTCTTTATTAAAACTAACAATGATTATACTTCTTTTGGTATGACTTCCATGTCTGCTTGGGGCAGGGCACAATGCAACGCAGGTGGACGGCTGCCTTGCACCCAACGTTGGGTTGGTCAGAATTTAGGTTAGGTTGACTCCTGCAATAAAGTTATTTGAAAAGTCTAGTACGAAGGCTCCCACGCCCATCGAGACTCACTTAATTTTCTCTCGAAAACAGCAACTTATCGGTCGCTTTTACTCCCACGCAATTTGAGGCGATGTCTAGACGCCTACGCAAACAACGCCAGGACCGGCAAGCTCAACTATACAGCGTGGGCCGAATTGTGTGGCCATTCAAACGAAACGGGTTGTTATTACGGAAGCTGCTCTTTGAGGAGATCACACAAGGTGACGCGGCCACGAAAGACGGCCATCGTCCGCCCACGGAGGTGATTACGCACACTGGCACAAATCTAGGAGGGTGGGCGTGTCTAGTTTGTGCACCAATGAGAATTATCCTGACGTTGTGTATATAAGACGTAGCTCAGCACCCGTTTGAACATACCAATCTCCAGTACCACTGAACAGCCCATAAGGTGAGTGCTTTTGCCTTTTTAACGCAATAAATCCTGTGATTTAGAATTCTGTCTCCGCGCCAGTCAGTGTGTACGCAGTCAGTACATTTATTGGTATCTGAGAAAATAAGCCCTATTCTCATGTAGTCATAGGAAAGGCTCCTTGTCTTGCAGAATCACTCATGCATGCGACGACTGGACACTGTATTAACGAGGTCATGTCAATATTCTTCCTCTAGCCATTGAATATCGTTAATTTATTTTGGTGCACTGTTATTTCTTGACTTCAGACGCAGACTGCTGCTAGTTCTGCGTTTTTTTTGTAGGATGATGAAGTATACAGGTAAACTACGGTGTAAAGCATTAAAACAAAGTATCGTAGGAATCAGATGGATATCAATCAAGAAGAAGGCATAGATAACGAAGCAGTAGGTGAATTACTATATTAAACGTCTATATACAAATAACATACAGCAGGCGGAGGTGAAATTCTAAAAGGTAGGAAAGACAAAAAACAATATGAAATAAAGAAAAGTAAATTACTGGGATAAGCATTAAAAAGGAGGCAAAGGGGAACAAAGTATATAATAGGAAAAAAGTTCATGCGTCCAAAGAAAAACTAAGACAATATCTTTAAACAATTCAGAAAATGAAAAGCAACAAAGAATCAGCAGAAAAACCAAGCAAACTCAGCAGATTCCACCCAGAGAGATGGTGGAATAAGAAGAAAAATGCGGCCAAGGATATTGACGCAGCGGAAGAAAAGACGGAGGTGAAATCTGCAGTGAAGATGGTCGATGAGAATTCGAGTGCGAATGCCGATGCGGAGGAGGAGGAATGCCAGCATGAGCGGAGGAGAAGCAGTGTCATGGTGCCCATCCCCGTTCTCGGTGACAGACGGGAGAAGGATGTTGATGCAGCGGAAGATGAGACGGATCTGGAATCTGCAGTGAAGATGGTCGATGAGAATTCGAGTGCGAATGCGGATGCGAAGGAGGAGGAATGCCAGCATGAGCGGAGGAGAAGCAGTGTCATGGTGCCCATCCCCGTTCTCGGCGACAGACGGGAGAAGGATGTTGATGCAGCGGAAGATGAGACGGATGTGGAATCTGCAGTGAAGATGGTCGATGAGAATTCGAGTGCGAATGCGGATGCGGAGGAGGAGGAATGCCAGCATGAGCGGAGGAGAAGCAGTGTCATGGTGCCCATCCCCGTTCTCGGCGACAGACGGGAGAAGGATGCTGACGCAGCGGACGATGAGTCGGATGTGGAATCTGCAGTGAACATAGGCAATGACACCTCTCTTGCCGTTTCCTCAGAGAGGTCTCGTAGCCGTCACATTTGGTTCAGATCGCCTTGCGCTAGGCGATCTGATGTCACTTGTAAGCGCCATAACTTCTTGGGGACTGTTGGCGATGGGAATTTGAATGCCTTTCCAAGAATATCTGATAAGCGCCTGATGTTGTCTACTTCTGACGCCGGTAATCATTTGTCTCGTATGCCCTGCCCGTCAAATTTGCCAACATCCTTGTCGAAGAAAAACTGGCTCCGGCAGAAGGTTAGTGAAAATTGGATGTATAAGCAGCTAAAATCCCTGAGCCCACAACGGTATAGAAAGCGGGATATCGAATATGGAGTGCGACGGCGACTCTCATCCGGCTCATAGAGGCACTGAACACAAGACTCTGGATGTCCTGCGGCAGGCAGACACCGCACCGAGTCGTTTTTCTGATTTTTTGTTGGGCTTCAAAATAGCCTGCGTCTGCGATATTCGTGATTTTCCCTTTCTTCCGCAGATTCTCCCATTTCCTCCTGCTTCAATTTTCCTTATATTTTTCGTTTCCATCCAGATTTATTATTTTGCACCGCTTGTAATACAGATCTATCGAACAGATTTTTAATTTATGTAGAAAAACTTTACAATCCTATTTTTGTACTCTACTCAAAACTTGATCCCTCTGCCTTCCTCCTACGTTCGAGCGGGCGAGATTTCGCAGTAAATTTTAACCGGAATGCACTTTTTGTTTCTCAGCCTTCTCGGATAATTGAGAGCTCTTTCACTGAATTTTTCGGGTTCTTTGACTCATCTGTTTTGAAGAGAAACTAACTTTGTTATCTATTGTTAACCCTTTTCGATACCTCTTCAAAATAAAACGAGATTATTTTTGATCACATCTTTTTATGGCTCAATAGGACTAGATATTTAATCCCAATGTCAACTTCCTAGTTCTCTCTTGCAGGCATTTATTGCTCTAATGCAACTTTTACAACTTCTCAAAAGAAAGCCTTCCCAGTGAGGAAGGAATTAATTCCAGCAAACATGTTGAAGTCGACAGCGGGCGATTAAAGCACTAACACAACTGGTCTCCCCTGTGGCAGGATAGTGACGGATATTGACTTTATGACCTTGTTCCCTAATCATCTATCAGTGAATTTTGATCTGTACTCTAATTGGTTGATTACGTTTGCGGGTGAAATGCTCAAACAGATAATCTGGACTGTTTTAGAGTTGCGAAAATTCCCATAGCAGTAATCAGAAGACGAGGTGGCGAGCATACGTAGCTTTCGACAAATTCTCGTCGGGCCAGTACAATTATATGGGAAGGGGATAGAAGTACAAACACGTCAGCGATAAGATAAATCGATTAAAGTTCGCCTTAAAACACAGGCTGGCTGCGGGAATGGGGGGGAGGGCATTAGCAGTCAGTGTCGGGGGGAGGGTGAGAGCGGAAGGGCGCGGGCGAGTTGTAGCGTTAGTCGACCTTGGACCACTGTAGGCGCAGAGTCTGAACGGGGTTCTTCTGTGCGCATAAGATCGGTTTTCGCAACCTAATGGTGGCCGCCTCTGCTGTTGTTAACAGGCGCTGTCTCAGTTGTTTAGGATAGCTCGATGGGACCTTATAGATCACACGAAACGCTTCATTGGGGTCTACATGATGTTCGGAATCGACAACATGCGCGTGAAAGACGCTGCTTATGCTCCCAATTTCGCCTTTTCCCAGCCACGCTGGGAGGTGTTCCCCTATTCTCTCGGATAAGCGCCGACTCGTGCGACCAATATAACCTGCTCCACAGGAGCAAGTGAAGGAATAGATGCACATTGAAGTGTTCTGGGGTGGCAACTTATCCTTACCTTCTCCGCGTAAAATAGGGTTAGTAGAGAAGGATACTTGAACCCTTGCTGCTGGGAAGATTCGCTAAACAGCTTGATCAAGGCGCCTCTTTAGGAGTTCACTCGTAGCGTCCCCTTGAAAAGGGACTTTAAGGGACTTAAGGACTTTAATTTGGCCTTTGTAGCACTCCCAATTAAATGGGACCCGAGCAGCTCCTGCCTGCGTGAGAAATCGGTCCATTGTACACGGCTCATTCCGTGCGTGGCACGTCTAGACGTGCTGTTTGGTTTTGTCATTCACTGTGCCCCATTCCACCTCTGATCATTCTTGCTCAGTCTGGTCATCGCGGGCGGGCGAGTGAGGCAGGAAAGAGTACCGCAGATGCTGTGCAAGCCCACATTTACTTTAAACTAATTCACGCGCAAGTCACCGTACTGCGTCAACCTCGTCTTTGGGGCAGTTTGCTCGTGTGATTTTTTTCTACAGCTTCATCTGCACACGGATCGTACCCAGGCCATATGTACTGCAGAAAGTGGCAGCATTCTTAATCAGTCATGCTAAAAGTAAAAAAATTAGCGACTACTCGGACGGATTCATAGTCCCATCCACCGCACATTGACGGAAACAAGTGCCAGCAAAGGAAGCCCGTAGACGCTGTGCTCTCAACCGCGAAGCTCCGTTCAGCTTTCTGACGATTTTGTTTCGGTAGCGAATCTGGCATCGCTTAACTTTGGTTTTACGTGAATGCTCTACTGGGCTCCAGCCCCAGTCGAGCGTCCTTCTCCCCTAGGATAAGGCTTTGGCAAAAGCACGAATTCCTTCGTTATGACTATGTCCCTCACAACCAGACGAAGCCGCTGAGTGGCTGGAGGCGCGGAACGAGCACTTTATGCGCCGGACTTTTTTTTTCCCGAGCGTAGACCCACCCTAAGAAGCGGAAACAAGAAGCCGTGTGGGGGCACAGGTGACCATAGTACTTAGAGCAGTTAAGTTGGTCGATGAGTGAACAAGAATCATGAGTTTGGGGTGGGAGAGATCGTCACTTGTGACTTTTTGCCGCAAAGGGTCTTCACTTAGCCATGGCCGGAATTATATTTCCCAATAAACAACGTAACTGTTGCGCTGAAGGCACTGTGATAAGCGACGGTTAGAAGAGATGTTGTTTTCTAAATTTCTATTAACTCGGACCTGTTTCCTTGGTCTCATCAAACGTACACTTAGTGACGATGAAAAGTGCCTGAATGTGTCCTAAAACTGGGCCAACATTTCTCAGGGTATTCTGTACTTACTGGGCAGTTGTGTGACACTCGAATTTTTAGGCCGTTAACAGTCGTATGAATTTCCAGGTCAGTGTTCGACTAAAAATACTGACCATGAATGAATTCGACAAGTACAGGTTGAAGTACATAATCGCCTTTCATTTAAGCCGTCAGGGATTTAAAGGGCAAGTATCTTGACAATCATTTTTCCAAACCGAAACCACTCGAGTCACCACCGAGGCGCCGAGTTTTTCACAGTTGGGTCAATATGAAATATTGATTATCTTGCGGCTAATCTGGTAGTATTTCGGACCCCCCAGGATGTCGGCTTTTAAACGCACTTCTTTTTGACCTCCTGCAGAAACCACGCTCGGTACAAAAGACTACTTATCTAGCATGCAGTTTTCATATTGATTTTCGATGGCCCTATAAATTCGAATATATTTTATAGAAAACATGCACAAAAATATGTTTCTTTTACCTGTTTGGTAGAAAATCACGTTATCTTTACATTTTCTATCCTAAGAAAGGTGATCTTTCGGTTTTCAAAAGTTTCTAATTATGATCTTGTTAAGACCGCTCGATGTCCACACGTACAGCATCACATATGTCCCTTCACCAGTGCTCCTCATGAAATGTACAACATAGTCCGCAACCACCGCAAAATTTTATAAACATTAAATAGTGTTTTCTTAAAGGCTTAGAGGAATATATGATTCTCTTTACGCGAAAAGTATGCACCTTGTGGACTGAAATCGCTAAACGCCAATGCAAGAGCTGATCAAGCTCGAAATTATTCGGGAATTGGACAACTTTATCAGAACCTAAATACGAACTTTCTTTGGGCATAAAATGTGAAGAAAATACTATTTCCTACCAAAAAGTAAGGGAAAGCATATTTTGTGCATGGTTTCTATAAAATATATTTAAAGTTATAAGCCTATCGAAAATCAATGTGAAAAATACATAGCAGTTGCAGGGTCATTACTCAACTGACTTCCGCCCATTCAAGTTAGTGTTTGAAGGTTATCAATAACTCAAGGTTTCACGAGGGCCTCATCTCGTGACACCCCATTAATGTGTCCCTAATGACAACTCTCCTTGACGGGAAATCCAAGATCTGATCTGAAGTTTGGTTCATGGGCGTACGGGAAACCGCGGGTGTGAGTGTGTGGCCAGGGTGGTGTTGATTCAAGCATTTCAGCTGCTGTAAGCACGCCAGTCGCCAGTCATTTTGGTTTATTCTGCGCTAGTTTCCCTTACCATAAGCGTATTCACACGCAGCGCATCTACTCTCGCTCGAGACAGTGGTGGTCCTAGTCGCTTGCGACGGCCACACTCTGGGTTTGACAGCGTGCGACTTCACTGCGTCACCCGGCCTGCGGATTGTTTACTACATATTGACAAGTTTCACACAAGCAAGTATCGCTGCTAGGTGATAGGAATTTTGTGCGTCAGATTACGCACAGAGCAAACAGTTTTGTTGAGTTCAACTGATCGCTCCCAAAAACATATTTTATAAGCTGAGATTGACAGAACACCTAGAGTTAGTGGGTCACGAGACAAGCATCCTTGCGATCAAAACTCGAGAATGGGGCATTAACGCGTATGCAGTAAACACCAGGCACCCCGAATTAATGGCAACAGGATAGATGAATGTCAGGAATACAAAATGCATGAGTAAATTTATGACAAGCTGTTCGTAGGAAATACTTCCTGACATTTGTTTGCGGTTCGGGAGGACCTCGGAGGTTTAAGGCTGACAGTTAAAATTTTCGGGACAAGTCTTTTTCTCATAAGGTCGCTGAAATTTACTTCCGGCATTTACCATGACTTTTCGACCGTCGTCACTAGCGATGTCCACCGTACGCCCCACGACATGACTCGCAAGTAAATTAGTTTGCTGTCACAGTACACTTCCGCTGCATCTACCACACTCTCCTCTCCCTCATCTTTCTGAGCCCGGCGACAAGATAGAGTTAAGAGGGCCGGAAGTGGGGTCGGACCTACTGACTGACAAGGCCAAACAGTCCCTCTCTATGTGCTACCCACGTTTTCTCCGTGAAAAGGGACCAGAGTTTCACAGAGACAAGGGATGGTCCGGGTCCGAAATGAGCGACAGTGCTGCAGGGGCCACATAACGAAGGAACCATTGCAGTCTGACTCTCCGTCCTGAGTGGAGAACCGAGCTATTCCCATCAGTCGGTAACCTCCCAAACTCCCGTTTTAGTAAATCATTTTGTTTATAGCGAGAAATGCGCTGAGTGCCGTGGCGATGGAGTCCACAGTGTTAACCTCACTCTCTCTCTCTCTCTTCCCTCTTCCAGACACCATCAGTCCACTGTTAGAGCCGGTCAGTCACTTGGTGCAAAGAATGGAGGTTAGTTGCCGGCGCGGCGCGAGCCTGCGTCTAGGTGTGCCTCCACACCGCATATGTGACATTCGTAATGGGTGTGCGATCCGATTAACGCCAGTCCCATCGGTCCCGTGTTGGCCGTTCTGCCGGCAGTGTCGTCTTCGCACTGCGCCAGCGGCCTGTACGAGCCTGTTGTTCATGCCAAGTCGTATTTGCAACCTCAGGCATTCATTGGTTTTGCGTTAGATTTTCATGTTACACACCGGCTTACTTCTTCGACACTTTACTGCATTAAATGCAAAAAATCATTACGTTGTTGGTAGTGCGAACAAAATTAACAGGTAGTCAAACAGAAGGGAATCAGGAAGTTCGGCCAATCAGGTCAGCTGTATATGACTCTTATTAGGAGGCTCGTCAGTTGCACGCATTGGCCTATCGACTGTCCAGCCTCTTCCCTCTTATTTGGCTGTAAATTACGTCCTATTTGAGTGTCTTTTGTGTTGTTCTGGTTGCTGCTCCCGATCCCCAAACAAGCCATACTGTTGATGCGCTGGACGCCAGAGTGGCTCCTGGAACTCGTTAATTGGGTGACACAGATGCTGCACGTGGTGACACGACTGGACGTATGCCTCGGACCGTGCCAGACACTGCGCCCAGTCCCAGATGACTGACGGTCTCAGACAGACGACTGGTGCGCTGGAGAGTGCGGTCGACACTGTCCTTCCTCACTGCACATAAGCGAATTCCTCACTATAACAAATCTCACACGTCTTCCTCTAGCACGACGCGATAAAAGTCGTGGCTTGGAATGCTGCCAACCCAGTGGGTAACTCGGGAATATCAGGAGTGAGAGTCCAACTCAAAGGCTCCTTCAGAGCGTGGTCTCTACGACACTTCCACTTAGATGGGATTCGAGACGACCTCTTGAGGGCCCGGTACATGTGGTGGGGACCCGGTCGCGCGTGGCCCGCGTAGACTGGTGGTTTATACTTGCCAATTATTGGACCCAAGACCGCCTACGGCCGTCCCTACACTGTCTCGCAATCATAGTTTGGTTCAGTGTGGGCCCGCACCAGGCGTCCTAACACACCCTGGTCTACACGTAAACAACTAGGATTTCATATAACGAGAAAAGGGGCGGTTCGGATCCCAGCGGCAGTACCATCAAGGCTACAGCTGGAAGGGGTCATTGCAGTCTGACTCTCCATCCTGAGAGGAGGACCGAGCGATCCCGCGTCAGTTGGTAGCCCGCCAGGCCACGGCTTCTAGGGCATCGCGATGGTTTAAGGGGCATTAAATAGTTTTTAATGAGGAATATATCGTAGGACCGGTGTTCTCCGAGTAGAGCTTACTCTCTCTCTTTTTCTTCCCTTTCTCAGGCACTAGTCCACTTTCCGAGTTGGTCAGTCATCTGATGTGACGATTTACAGAACAAAACAGTCCGCCTGCGTGCACCAAACGCGACCTGCCCCTCACAACATTCCAGGTTCTGAGACAAAGAGGAGGAACGGCCCGGGTTTCCCGTGCGTGAGAGGCGTAATCAAGGAGGAGTTATTGAACCAGACTCCCAGTTCACCAGTCAACCACTGAAAGCATAAACACACAGGGCCGACTGCGAGATCTAAGTCGGTCCCTCAGCTGGCAGCCTTTCAGGTCACAGTTTTTAGCATACCATGTTAGGTTCAGGCGCTTTGGAATGGGCGGAAGTGCTGTGGCGATGCCCCCTCTCCCCCGCCCCACCCCCCCCCCTCCCCCAGAGTCGATCGCACACTCTCTCTTCTCAGTCCCGTACACCAGTCGGTTGTTCGAGCCGGCCAACCAATCGATGCTGAGGTTGGATGGAGTGTGCAGCAGAGCTAGGCGGCCCGCCTAGGCATTCACACACGATCCGCCCCACACAGCACCACGATTTCACTTAAAATGGGTAGACTGTTCGGACCTCACATGCGCTAGAGAGCCATAGAGACTATACGGAGATGAAACCTAAGACCATGCTTCCTACTTCCGTGAAAGCCGTCGATCCCGCGCTTATCATGTATAATGTGGGAAGGGTCGTGCGTGGTGTGTCTGCTGATGAGGGCGTGTCCGGTGACGTGATTTGACTGGGGGCGTTTTTCTGCAGGCTTATATGGATGCCCACATGACTGTGTAGCCCCATGCGGTGGCGGTGGCGGTGGCGGAGGTAGTAGTGGTGGTGGTGGTGGTGGTGGTGGTGGTGGTGGTGGTGGTGGTGGTGGTGGTGGTGGTGGTGGTGGTGGTGGTAGTAGTGGTGGTGGTGGTGGTGGTGGTGGTGGTGGTGGTAGTAGTAGTAGTAGTAGTAGTTGTAGTAGTAGTAGCAGCAGCAGCAGCAGCAGCAGCATCCATTGGGGACGTCGCGGGAGCTGGTATAGGGTTGGTGATTGGGGCGTTAACAAAAGTGTTGTCGGATTTTCAATGTATTGAATCTGGAGATGTCCAAGAAAGGAGGTGTTGATAAGTTGACTGCATGGTCCAGCAAGTGGCTTCTAGCGTTTAAGGTATCCAAATCTGCAGTCTTGAGCCTGGAATCTGGTCGAAGGCGCTTCTCGAAACACGACTACACCATAAATGGGATTCCACAAAAGAAGTGGACACGCAGAAAGACCTAGGTGCCTGGACGAGTCCAAACTTGCCGCCCTCCGAGCACTGCAAAAGAGTCGTCCTAAAGGCAGCCAGCATCATGCACTGGATTAGGCATGTCTTCGTAGTCTTTCCTCCGGAACTCTTTGCACAGATATTTAATACGTTCGTCAGACCGCATTTGAAATACGGAATGCCAGCGCGGATGCCCTGGAGGTAGACAGACGGTGATGCCATGGAGCAGGTGCAACGACGGGCGACAAAACTGGTGGACGGTTTCAGCACTCTTTCATATCCAGAAAGACTGGTCCAGCTTAATTTGTTCCCCCTATCCTATAGACCAATGAGATGCGACCCGTCATGGGTATTCCGTGTTATGCGCGGGCATGACTATTCGTTCAAATCTAACGATTTCTTTGACCTCACGACCATGAGTCACCTGCGCGTTCATCCGTACAAGGTCAAACGCGAGCGTACACGCTTAAACTATCGGAAGTTTTCATTTAGTCAGTCAGTCAGTCAGTGTATTTGAGGGAAATAGGCTTACGCCTTTGAACTCCCTATTTGTACATAAAAAATCGATAAACAAGCAAAAATGTGAAGAAATTACAGCATTAAGTGAATGCATACATTG